TTTTTTGTTTTGTTAAGGTGTCCTTCAGGATCAAACTTTTATTGATATTTGTCATTGATTATATGGATCTACATTTTAGTATTACAGAAGTATACCTACTAATTATTTCTAAGCTAGGTGGTACCTTTATACCGAAGTGCCCTTTACTATCTTATCTGAACTTGGTTACCCCGTTGATTACCCATAAGTCCCCACAAGTAAACGTAGTAGATGCCTCCCTAATTCTTCTATGTTCTACACATTTCCAAATTAGGTTCAGAGAACCTATCTGCTATGGCCGAAACCTATACTAATAGTCAGAGCTAACCATTAAACTGTACAATTCCTGGTTCCCCTGCCTTTATAGAGTTTGTCTAAACCCCAGTAGCTACTATACAGACTACCAATCATACTTCTAGCTTTTCCAAACTCCTAATTCAAATGGCCAGAAGGGTAGATCCCTTCCTTCGACTGACTCGGTGGCCTGGTTGGTATAGTACTTGCCAGATACTTCGGTCCTGTTTGGTTTTTCCTTTTTCCAGATGATAATCCTTTATGTTGTACTATCGAAAGTCTGTGCTACCTCTCTATTTGGGTCTTGCTAAGCAGGCTTCTGTGTGCTCCAAACCCCTGAATTTATTCAGCTGCTTTACTTGGGATTCGTGTAACTTTTTCATCACACTAATATTCCACAACCTCTCAGTATGAGCTGGTATGACCAAGCTTACAGATCTGATGATCTATTTGATTGCATACAGTCTGCTATAACACATTTCTTAAATTTGAATTTCGTCACTAGTGAGATTCGAACTCTTGTTCTGCTGCTTGGGGATGTGACAACTTATCAACTTCACTAAGTCATCACACCCTATCTTATCATTCTAAACATTGCTATTTCAGTATAACAAAACCTATCTATAATTTACAAGTAAACTGCAGAAAAAAGATTCATATCAGCCTAAACAACTTTAAAAAAGCACTAGCTATAAGCTTTGTTTAAATACCTCTATCTTGCAAAATTAAAACACCACCAACTCTAACTAGACCGCTTTGTGCTTTTGCAAATCTCTCTATCCCACTTTGGGATACACTCACAAAAACCAACTTCAATACAAAAACCTTAATACTAATTATGACAAGTACTTAACAGATGATAGAAAACAACCACTGCATCATAGCAAAATACCACCTCCAACATATTTATACTCTATTTAGCTGCTTTATCAACTTTTAATCCCTATATATATATACACAACTCACCTTATTAAACTTTATTCTTACAACAACAAATCTATGTACTTTACTTCTATCAAGATCTATACAAACAATCTCTCCTTCACCAAACTAGTCAATTTCACACAATCAGTTCTACCCACAACTATTCTGTACTAGATAAACAGCAACACATATACTTTCTTCTGATACTAAAAACACTAATCTATAACTGAAAGATTACAATCACCTTCAATAAAGATACTAAAATCCAAAAAACCACTAATAATATTTTCTGCTAGATTTTATACTTCAACATTACCTATATAACTGCTTCATCTTAAGGCTTCTTAACAATCCTTGTATCTATAACTAAAACTACACTAAAACTAATACATCAAATTATGAATCAACTCGCTTAGTTTAATCAACAATGGATTGCCAACTGGCATATACTCCAAAGAGATATTAGTTGGCAATAAACATTGAAATATATTATATATGATGAAAGACCATTGGCCTTAAATACTAACCCATTTGCTTCGACAATAAAAAATTTTAAAATCAAACTGCTTTTCGAAGAACTACTTATCTACCTTTTCTTTTATTGGAGTAATGCTACAAATTATCCTAACTACCTTTGTTCAAGATGCTTAAATGAGCAGAAGATATTTCTCATCTCTTAATATGTCTTTGAAACCACCTACACTTTATGACTCTAATCACACAAGAAGTGAAAGAAACTTTGTGCAAATTAGAAATATCACACTTTCAACTTAACACTTTTACTCAGACCTTTATCAACCTTCATATTAACAAACAAATGTCTTTAGGGCTAATTACCAAGAACACTTTAGCACCATTCGAAAAGAATAGAGACAAATACAAATATGCACCTCTTATTCATCACAACATTGCTATAGCAATATACAAAGAGCTATGGCTCACTTCAAAAACAGTACAACATAACCCCATTTTCCCAACTCCTACTTCTTTACAACCTCTAATATTATATAAAACTGAACCACTAACCTCTTCTTTCATATATAAAAAAATATACCAATACATTATAAATGGACAGTCCTCTCTTAGTCATCTTATCAAAGACTAGAGGTCTAGTGACCATTCTAGCAAAGAATAGGTTGAGAGTAAAGTAGCTTTTACTTCCATCTCTCATAGTATAGTTTTTCATCAAGTATCTAATATATATATAATTAACTATTAAATAAAAGAGATAGAGGATAAACCTCTCTTTAAAAAAAAAAAAAAAATCATACTGCAGTAGTGCCATTTGACAATCATCACATGCAGTTCATCAACAAAAGTGAAAATTTTTCAGCAAAGTTATTGTTATGAAATTATTTAGAATTATTTATTTAATAATGATGGATACTATTTCTGTAAATTGTTTAGTTAAAGGCGAAGACCCTCTTGGAGATGTTTTTTTGGTTAAAATTAATAAGAATGAGCATATAGCTCAAATCTGTTGTTAAAGCGAAAAAAAACAAAAATTTGCAGATGTTGACTCAACAGAACTAAGGTTGTGGAAAGTAGATATCACGCTCAATAAACCCAATGAAAAGTTGAAAGTACTTGAAAATAAAGAATATGCCATGATTAAAGAACGCTTAAAAGGGATGAAGCTTGTTGCATTTAAGAAAATTATCGAGTACTTCTCTGAAGTTCCAAAAGAAAATCACCTCATCCGTCAGTTATTAAAGGCACTTCGAGTCTAGAAGTAAATCAAGGTATGTTCAATTTATATAAGTCAATGTATATAATCCACTTCTAATTTAATACTGAAAATTTTTCACAGCATTTTCGATTAAAATTTCGCATGGGAAGCTTCGCAAGTCGCTTCCTTGGATTGCAGACCCATCCAGAGTATCACTAAATGATATAAAGCACAAAATTCTCAACATATTGCCTTTTCCGCAAGATATGACAGCAGATATTTTGACGTTACATTTTAGCAGAGAGAATGACAAAAGCTCTGAAGAATTAGAATTTAAAAATGATAAAAATTTTCAAGAATATCTTAAATACTGTATCATGACTTCATCTTTGTCGCTTAAAGTCCAAGTATATATGTTACAAACGCATTTTCTGAATGGAAGCTTGGAACGGTTTGTGATCTATTCGAATTGCCATCTAATTTCCAAGAATTTTCCAAGTTCAGCTGTGGAGTCAACAGTCTTGAAGATTCAAAAGCAGAGGAGTTGCCAAAACATCTCTATAAAGATCTTAAGCTCAGTCAAAAGCCATCCATGGTAGGTTATAAGCTATTAAGAGTAAGTTTGTATTTTAATTTAATAATAAATTATATACAATATATATACGTAGGTTTATAACATATATCTCAAACATTATTACTTAAAAAACTTAAAAACTAGAAAAACTTGAGACTGCGCCCCAGGGCATCACCTGGGTCTGAAGGCTAAAAAACTATTAACAAAAACTTTAAATACAAAATTACGACTATATTTTAAGATATCAAAAACGTAATATTTAAAAAAATTTAAAAAAAATTGAGACTGCGCCCCGGGGCATCGTCCGGATTTGAGAGCTATCACATATACCCAGTTAACTCAGGTCATGTATTAATCAAATAGAGTCGGGTCTTCAAACGGGTTGTTCAGTACAAACCCGTTCGATTAGGAGCACTATACACAGCTCATTCATAGGAAGTCTTAGAAATCGAAAAATTTTCAGCAAAATAATTTGCATAAACAATTTTTAGGGTTAGGATCAGGATGAGGTAAGGTAATAGATTCTGTACTAAATTTCACAACCATTTTTGTCGTTAGAACGAAAAAAAGATTTTTTTTTTTTTTTTTTTTTTTTTTTTTTTTTTTTTTTTAAGTGAAATTTCAAGTTACATAAAATTTCTTGTTTTCGTTTACAATCTGATTTACCTAATCGGTAATAATTTTCTTTATTTTTTTTTTTTATTAACTCTTTTGTTTGTTTTATATATGCACCTACGTATCAATCTGTGTTAAGTAATATAATTCTGCAAAATGAAAGAAAATGAAAGGGGATGAAAGACAAATGGACGTTATCCTTCTGGATTATAATTTTCAGGAATGCATCTAGCTTGAGCGCATGTAAAACAATCTTGTTTCCAAACATGACACTTATAATTAAGTGGACAATTGTCGACGCATGTTGGATATATTTGGGTACATATGATACATGCTAATATTTCATTTGTTAACGTCAATTGTTATTAGAGAAGGACAATTACACATAAGTCAATATATAATAAGTAAAATGAGAACTGAGATAAGTCATATTTGCTTACGTTTAGGAGATGTGACGCAACGAGCGTCTCCGCAAGAATAACAGAAACGTTTCTGAACCCAAAGTTCAGGGGTATTAGAGGTATTGTTGCATGATGTACATGTAGTTTCAGGACATGTAACGCATTCTAAAATAATATTACAAGTTGAACACTACTCAGTAATGAAAACAAATACTTTAAAATGTAACTTGATAATAATTTACTTGGGTCATTCTTAGGTTGGCAAATCCATTTTGCACACTCAGAACAAATGTTTTCAGTTAGAATGCAAACTTGATCGTCAGCGCATTGCTGGTCGCATCCACCTTTCGGTTGCATTGGGCATTTTAAACATGGATTACCGTCACCATCATCTAATATAACATTATATATATATGAATTAAAGATTTAACAATAGGTTAATGTAAGCACTGTTTTATCATTTACCAGCGTTTACAAATGCATGATCGATTGTAACAATTAAAAAAAGAGCCAGAGCAATAGTAAAAATGAAATAAAATTTTAGCGACATTGAAATCGAATATATGCTTGGAATTCGAGAAAAAGTTGATTATAATGAAACATTCAGCTTTATATAATTTAAAATGATGCATTTATTTACATTTTAACTGCAGCAATTCATTTCCAAGTATATTATAGATTAATGAATTAATACAACAATTAAATTTGCCGTACTTATACGTATCTTGCAAATATTTTATTTTCCACTTCCGTATATACGTACGACACGTACGACCTACGAATATATAAAAAGGATTATACATTGTTACACGATTTGTCACGCCGATTGGGAAAAGTCATCCCACAGTACCATGTGATTGATATTAGTAATAAAATGATGACGTTTTATATAAGGTTTTTAAAAGGACTTTAGTATTGTAGCTTATATATTATCACCAGAATCATTGATACGTACTAAACCCTTAATCCGTTAATATACGAATAAGTATGTAGAATCAATGTTTAGAACGAATTTGGTTTTAAATCCTAATATATTTAGCGTTAGTTAGTGATCTTCTGCTTCAGATTTAAGACCAAATTGTAATTTTATTCTATATTTGAAATAATTCACTTGATTGGCGAAAATACCAGCACCAAGTTTAATAGCGTAATTGTGCATGAGTACATATGCGTATATTTACCTGATCACACAATCAATGACAAAAAAATCATTCGCTAAAAACTATGGGCTTATCATACTACATACGTATTTTAGTGTCCAAAAATTTGCGGTGGTAGAATCTGCGTAGAATTCTGCTCTTGTCCTACTCGTCGAATAATAACTTATTGGTGGATACAATCTATTGTATTTTGTTTACTGTACGTCGCTGCAGAATCTGCGAATTTAACGGAAATCGCAGCAGAATTCTGGACATTCTAACGTATTTATCATTATGAAAATTTACAGGTGGTTGTTCTTTGTTTGTATTTAAGATCACATTTGCTTTGCATTCGGGGATTTAATTCGAATTCGAAGGAAATTTGGATTTAAATTCGAAGATCAAATCTCTAAATAGAGTTTGGGAATGTTAAAAGTCTGGTCCTTTCCATAAATAGGGGTTTTGATAAGTCGATCCTTGAGTTGAGTAATACATAATAATACTACGTATCTGCTGTACTGTATTGATTGATCAAATAACAGATGCTGTACTGTATTTAAATCTCGATGT